AGAACCTGATGAGCAGAAGGAAATGTCTCCCGAACCACCAGTTACTTGTAGCAGCACAATAGCTCCAGCTGACTATTCCACGCTGTCAGATGAAACGCAGCCGGCTATCGCAGTACCGGAGGAATTGAAGGAAGAAGAGGAAGAAGAGGAAGAAGAACAGCTTGAGGTACTTTTCTTTTATAATTGGATTATGCTTTATGTGCTGAGACAAATTCTTTAAGTCTTCAAAAGTAAGTGTACTAAGCTGACTCTTTTAGGAAACCGATGAGAAATCAGTCGATACAACGAGTCTCGCTATAGCCGAAGATGAAGAAGCTAAGGCTGATGTGGAGCCAGAGGAGGATGTATCAGATGAGCCTACGCCTGGACCAAGCAGCAGGTTAGTTCTCACTTTGCATGCATTATTGGTTTGAGTGATCAAATGATAACCTTTATCAGCCGCGATCCTTCACCTGAAGAGAGCGAAGTTACTGCCGAAGAACCGGAAACTGAACCACCTTCTGTGAAACCATCGAAAAGATCAAGGAACAAGGATAGGGTGAGTATTCCACCCACAGTAGATCACGTCTTACGGAGAGTAACACACGTTATGGTGACATATTCAGGTTGCAACGTTGTCTAAAGAAGAGGTGTACGACGATCGTGATGCCACGCCTAGTGAAGTTGCTGAGTCGACAGATGGCGTTTTCACGGAACCTTCGACTCCTGCCCCGGAAAGTCGAAAGCCGAAGAGGCTTCCTATAGTTCGGGTATGTCGTGGTTTTTTTTTTTATATTTACTTTCAATGGTATCACGATAGCTCTGCGACATTATTTCGTCATGGTCAACGAATAGACGATAGTAGTTAAGTATGGACGGGAAGCTTAATAGTTGTGTCCTTTTGTCATTCTATTGATTGCGTAATCGTTATTCGTTGATGATTTTATGACCGCTTCTGAATAGCGAGAAAGTTGACATTTCGTCACTTGTTGCACAGGGTGGGATCTCCATGGAATTGTTTCGCAAAATAATGTCACTGTAAAAATAGATCAACCCCAATTTTTTTCGAGAAATTGAATTCAGTTTTCGGTGCGTCCTGATGCCCAGTTTACTAGCTTGATACTAGCTTGTTGAAGTCGTGAAGAATATTCGGAATTAAATTCTCAGTTAACACATGTGTCGCGCCTTTGCATCACTCATAACTTATTGAAATATGTGGTGGTGGTAGAACAAAGCGTGGCGGTGTTATTTTGATCGGAGAATCCCATCTTCCTATCCTTAGATCGACGAGCTCCTTCGGAATGAGCAGTTTATTGGCAATGTTCGAAGTCGTTGGCATAGTTAAAAGTATGAACTGCGGCAAACTTACCACTTTGGCCCTTGTCTATCACCTGGCGTTTCCTCCATAGAGCAATCTAGAACGTGCTACTACATTATTGTTGCTTATAAACAATTTCGAAACTAAGCAACACAAATGAGATGAAAAGAGATAACATTGTTCAAATATCACAGGAACCGCACCTTCTCCTCAGGAATAGATTCAACGGGTTCCCAGGTGACCTCATCATAGGCAAGACTTTTCCATTTCACTAGGGCATATTCTAGCCCATCGTCACCAGTACCTACGTCTACAACTCGATCGACAATGGTGTAATCGCTGTTGAAAATCTTCTTCTTCCTGAGATAAAACAAGAATAGAAAGCACTACTTAAGTGAAGATCTTAAGTGGAGCAATAAAAACTCGACGCTCACGTTGTCATTATTCGAGTGAGATTTCTTTTGTCGGAATCGCTTAACTTTTGCCACTGCACGTTTATCAACTTCTTCCAGTTCCTAAAATGTCTTAGTCTACATAGCAGATCTATCAAAAAAAAAACAAGCAACCGAAATAATTAGGAGTGCAATCATACCTTAAGGGTTTTCCATTCACAATGCACGTAAGCTTTGCCTTTCCACTTAATGAGATACTGCTGTTCGCCTCCATCGGGGCCATCTCGCTGGTTAAGAATCTAGAGAACAACAAAATAAATCTACGGCAATTGAATGTGTAGATTGCCATGGATATTTTCTCAAGCAGCTCATACACGTAGAAAGAGGAATACACTGCTGATGATGTCG